ACCCAATTAAATTTTATTCCATTATAAACTTAAGTTTATTATTTGTACAATATAGATGCGTAGCATTAATAGCTCAAAATGTTTAGAACTGTAATCCGTGTAATGGAATTTATGGCTTTTGTCTGGAATCCACTTTTGGAAAGAAATCAACCATTCTGATTATCTGAGTAAAAATCGATTTACAGATTTTGACATTTACTGAATGTGATGAGCAGGTAGGGACTCGAAACCATAGCTAACCCATTCTGATGGTCCGTCGGCCGTTCTAGTTCATGAAATGTCCGATGGTCACATCGTGCTGCACTCTGATGCTGATATGGGAATCACCCGCTGTGGCGCATTAATTCGACCGTGAAGGTGGCGATGTTGGCAGGAGAAACGACTAACAAAAGAGCGTAATGATGCGGACTAATCCGGCCATTATGCAACCAGGCTTCGTGAAACATGTGACAACAAAACAATGGAAAGACACGTACAACACATGCCGTTAACGGCTATGCACGTTTATGTACGTAACCGAACACAGCTATGGCTCGTGTACTTTGTTACCACTTCAGTTACACACTCGCATTAGCATGTTTGATCATACTAAGTACACCCCAGTGCCAGATATTTAGACAACGCACGAGTTCAGCATTCGGCTCTTCTGAAGGACGAAATGCGAGACGCGGAAGCCTCCTTTTGGGATGTGGCGTTGAATTTGGCTACCTACGTTACGTCAGATTTGCTGTTTTCAGGGTAGTGCATACAAGCAAGATCTTCGAATACAGTAGACGCCTATTACGGCAATATTCCCTTGGTTAGACTTCGTCCTAGTTTGGGAATAAAAAAACAGTTTCAGATTGTCGCACATGGCGGGAACATGATCGTTATCTATTGGTGGGTAAGGATTAAAAAGGATACGATCGTGGTGTACTTTAAAGCACAGCCCTTGGACAGACCGATTGTAGCACGTGGAATATTCCAACTAGCAACTCAATAGGCCTAATAGCGAATTATCAGGAGGTTCAGGGAATTTCATGTTAAGTAACCGAGCAGTGAATGGAGATACATCTTCCAGACTCACTTGCCAATTGATTACTGGCTGTGTTAATTAGCAAGACGTTATTTGCTTTGGATGAAATGCATTATAATATCTGGTATCTGTACTCCGAAGCCCCAATAAGACGATACCAAAATGTGAGTTGGAATTCGTAGAATTCTGGAAACAGCTAACATTTCATCCGCTTCAGAGGTTATACGTCTACCAATACAATACTTTTGTTTTGTGGTGTACACTTACAAAGGGGAACACTCGAACTAAATTTGGAGAAGATCTTGCTGCATTTTAAATACGTTATTTCCGCTTTTCAGTGTCGTAATTACGCCCTGCGGCAGACTTTTCTTAAAACGTCGATGGAAGTGATTGCTCACTGCAATAAACATCCACCACTGGACCATATCTTCAGCCAGCCACATCCTACTTATTTAAGATGTATTTTAATATCATCCTACGCTTAGGTATGAAGAAGTTTATGATACTCCCATCATGTAATTTTCTCTGTTCTCCTGCCGCCTTCTCCTTATAATATGAAATATTCTACAATAACTTCACTCTAAACGAGACACACGCTTCGGCTGTTTTATCAACCGGTAAGAAGGCTGGGTGGGCCCCAAAGCAGGTCTGGACGTGAAGGCTACAATAAAAATATGTTGACCCTGTTGAGAACCGAACCTCGGTCATCGAGCTCCTGGTAGTTCACTGTATTGACAAATATAATAACATAAGACAAAGAGTGCATAGCTCTCTCTCGAGACTTCTGTTCGTCGTCCTATAATGTCCAAGTATTTTCCTCAGAACCCCGGCCTTAAAAAGAACGTCTCTAAGACATTCCTTTTGGGCTGGCTTTGCTACAGCTGTGTGCTGAAGATGACTGTCTTCTGGGTTGCACCGTCGTGCTGTCTGGCAGAATTTTACGAGCGACCCCATCGTCCTGATGATGGAGTAAGGAAGGGCCTCTGAAACGTCGATAAAATTCTACCAGACTACACGGCGCTGCAACCCGGCCATCTTTGGGATGAGCGCCGTTACAACCTCAGATCCTGACAATACGCACGATGTAGTTTATGGAAAACTAATCCAGAGACCCTGGGCTCAATTAAGCTTCAAACGTTTAATTAAACCGCGAAGATTAATGACGTCAACAAATCTGCAGCTCTAAAGATGACACGCGGAAGCTATTCAGACTCCATGAAGGAACTTGCCCAGTCGTCGACATACATCTGTTTGCTGCGCAGATAACGTTTGATCAGGCAGTCAACTTACTCAGGAGCGGATAACATATTTTACACGAGTGGAAGTTGTAAAGGGAATCAGTGACAAAAGGAATTCAGATTTTTTTGAAATAAACACTTCACAAAGCTACGCAAATTCCCTTGTCCAAACCAAACGCTGGTCTCTACGTAACGGAGGGACGTACCGCCTCTGCAGACGGGTAGAGGACTCTGGTCTCCGAAGTCAAGGTGTGAATTAACGTCGAAAGCTGGTAAAGTTTACCGACGCTTAGTAAGCGGTTACTGCATTCATCAGGGCCAGA